TTTCTCTGTTCCATACCAATATTTCAATCATTAAGTAGTATTTTAAAGTGTCATTTTAATAAACATTAAATAAAAGTGTACATTTTCTCCAGGAAAATACATTAATTTTTTTTAATAAAATCAAAACTTCTAAAATCACAAACATATGTGGTTTTATCGGAAGTTCACAGATGTAACGTGGCAACTTAGCTCGTTTTCACATTTTTCGGTCCGAAATTGTAAAATTTTTGTCCATGACGCGCCACGATTTTTGTACAGGTGGGTCAATGTGCCTTGAACACCATTTACTTATATACAAAAAAATTATTTTATTTATTTTTTAATATTAAAAATTTCTATACTTCAAAGCGTTTATAAAAGTATATTTACATATATGCACGGACGATTTTTAATATTTTTCATCCGTAAGCAAATCTTCTGTACCATAAAAGATTCAAACACATCAAAGTACAAGCAATGCAATGTCCAAGCTAGTGCTACTCCACTGTACATGTGTATATGAATGTATGCATGTATGCGTGTAAAAAATGTCAATTCCAGTTGGTTTTTAACCCATTTTAGCGGACATAGTTTTTTTGGTTTCAGCTGGTTCCAACTGTTAATGAAGCACAATTTTTATTCCCGAGCGCACTTGTGCACTTTGTTCACATAACGGTTGTTTGTAACAGGCAAAACGAATCGAGATAGATATAGACAAATGTATACATAAATGATCAGAATGAAAAGAGAAATCGATTAAGCGGTGACTGTTTGTCCGTCCGTCCGTCCGTCCGTCTGTGCACACGATAACTCGAGTAAAAATTGGGCGTAGGACGGATGGTATTGAAAATGGGCGAAATCGGACAATAACCACGCCTACCTCCCATATAACGGTAATTTTAAGAAATACGAAAACTGCGATATTTTCGTAACTACTGAAGATAATTCACTCTAAATTGATACTTAGAATGAGTTTCAGACGGAAAATATGAATTTTATAAATTTTTGGAAAATGGGCGTAGCCACGCCCACTTATGGTTACATGTGTATATCTTGGTAACCGCTACACCAATTTCTTCCAAACTTGGCACAGTTGTTGTCCTTAGTACAGCATACTAAATGGCTAAAAATTTAAAAAATCGGACAATAACCACGCCTACCTCCCATATAACGGTAGTTTTCAGAAAAACGAAAACTGCGATATTTTAGTAACTACTGAAGATAATTCACTCAAAATTGATATTTGCAATGAGTTTTAGACGAAAAATAAGAATATTACAAAATTTTGGCAAATGGGCGTAGCCACGCCCACTTATGGTTACATGTGTATATCTTGGTAACCGCTACACCAATTTCTTCCAAACTTGGCACAGTTGTTGGTCCTGGTACAGCATACCAAATGGCCGAAAATTTCTAAAATCGGACAATAACCACGCCCACATCCCATATAACGGTAATTTCGAGAAATACAAAATCTTCAATAAATCATTAAATATTGAAGCTAATTTATTCAAAATTGATGGTTGCAACAATTCTTTACCAAGAAATACGTTTATGACAAAATTTTGGAAAATGGGCGTAGCACCGCCCACTTGTGATCACATATATGTATCTCGCTAACCGTTCTAGCAATTTGTACCAAGCTCGGTATGGTTATTGTGCTTGCCACATAAAAGCAAACCATTGAAAATTGTTGAAATCGGACTAAAATTGAGGCCGCTTTTCATATAACGGTAAATTTCAGAAATGCTTGAAAATTCAATATTTCGAAATTTAAGGACGCTAATTTACTTAAAATGTATACACCCCGGCTTATCATGTAGCGGTAGCTTTCGGAAAGGTGGAAAACATATATTTAATACTTGCGCCGGGTATTTAATGTTCGGCTCCGCCCGAACTTAGACTTTCTTACTTGTTATGGTTAATCTTGATGAAAGTTACATGTATCGTCGAGGACATGGTTACGTGCAGAATTTTAAATTAATTAATATTCTTCTCCATATAAAATGTACGAGTATGGCTTTATTAAATGTAAACTTATGCGAAAACCTAAATATTTCGTCAACCAAGGGTTAATTTTGGTGGCGTCGTGGCAATTCGCAGAAATTTAATAATTTGTCTACGTTTGGGGGATGGCGAGGGGAAGACGAAAGCAGAACAATCGTACATATTTATGCACATATTTACATTTATAAATGCACACATATTTATGCGTTTGTCTTCTTGGACGAATGAAAAATTTCATATATGTAGTGATTTAGAGATAGCCGTTTCAGTAATGTACCGTGGCGTGTACGCTAGAGGCGATGCTACTTTTTGGCGTCTCGCCGTTTGTCTTGGTTCAAATCCCGGACGGACCAAGTAATAAATTATTTTTTTTTTTTAATTGTCATATCCATATTCGATTTTAAATTTTACTATTAGCTTTGTTTAAAATAATATAAATGGATATGTAGGAACAAACGCATGCATAATTTCACATAATCGCTCAAATTTGCCAAAAGTTACTGAAAGCTTTATTGTAAATGTTTTCACTAAAATATTAGTTATTGGAATTAAAATTTTATGCGAATCCAATTTTTATTCCCATTTTTAGAAAGCGCAAGTATGTATATGTTCGTGCCACAAAAATTATTTCATAAGTAGTTAATTTTAAACACAAATATGTATGTACACTGGCAAAGTGAGTGCATCCTGTTTTTTGTTTAATATTTGCAATGTTTTTAAGTTAAACTTTTATGTTATTTTCGCCGGGAATTGCGGTTTTATGCATATAGCAAGTGCAATTTGTAAAAAATAGCGCTAATTTTTTTTATTTGTTTGCAAAAGTGCAAAAAGCCGTCAGCAATAAATAATCATTAAAAATCAACCGGATTTTTTAGCCGCTTAAAACTTGATCTTGTTCCACTAGAATTAAAAAACCGATCTATCTGCGTACTCAAAATTTTCCTAAAAACTCAAATTAAACAGGTCAAAATTTAGACGAGAATTCGTTGAATTTTTCTATGTTCTGTGTAAAGTTTGAAAGTTTGACTTGTATAGTTTTGATTAAAGCATGAACCACATTTTTATAAAAAGATAATAAAAAAAATTAATTGAAAAACATTGCAAATATTAAGCAAAAAACCCCATGCACTCACTTTTGATTGCCAGTATATGTATGCATGTACATATGTGTGTAAACTTTATGCCAAACTATCATTATTTTAAATTGTATTTGCATCTTCATAAAAGGAGAACAAGATAAAAAATTTAACAAAAATTACAAATTAATGAAAATTATGTGAAGATTTACCATATTTTCGTTTATTTGCTCACAAAGAACATCATATTTCATGTTGCTCAACATTGTATTATGTTATCAACATTAAATTCAACAGAATTTTTACATTCCGACTTGAACTTTTCTAACACTGTTAATTTTTCGTCCGCGAATAGTTTCCACTTTCAGTTTGCACCTTCTCTATCTATCTAAGTTCTCTGTCTGGATGTACAATATTCATTATTTCCTGACAGAAGAGTACATAAATACCAAAATAAATCTCATACAAGCTTTGAATTTATTTACTTATTATGAGGAGTACCGTTGGCCTAAGTTAGAGCATTTTTATTTCTTGCACAAGCGCAGTGCGACTTGCCTGCGCTACTTGCTTATAGCAACAAACCTTTAATAAAAAATTACTACCGTATTATATAGCATACAATATTGTATACATACATACATATATTGCGATATTGAAAGTGTTTGTAATGAGAAAGTTCACGCTACAGAAAAAGGTAATTGTGGTGTTTTATCTAAGTTGTATACCGGTAGCGCCCAATAAATCTCGATCAATTATTCTTTCGGTAGGAAAAAATGAAAATGTTTCACATTGATTTGATCCGTTTTAGTGAGTTAAAAAAGGGGAACAGATTTGTCTGAGATTTCTTTTCGTATAAATATGCTCTAATTATCGAGAAGTACGCCTTCCTCTTTTGCAAATATATCCTATCAGAAGTATATAAAATGTGGATATCTTTAAAACAGGAGCAGCTAGGATTTCAATTTAAGCGGATTCTTAACCTTAAGATATCAACAAATACAACCCTGCTTTCAGATTTTGTCGACATTTTTATGCAACCTATCTTCGCTTCCTGCCCACCGTGTATGAGAAAAAAGAAATTTTATATAGAGAAAAATAACAAATAAGAAATATAATTTGGGAAATGTTTACCTTAATCGGAAAAAATTTAATTAATGTTTAATTCATTATTTACATCGGAGAAAAACTGTTTGGAAAAAAATTCCACATTTTAGATTTTTTTAGGAATAAAATTTTAGGAAAATAAATATGGATTTTATTAGAAAAAAAACGTTTTTTTGGAAAGTCTATATTCTGAAGATTTTTCACAAAAATAATAATCTAATCAAAATCAGAAAAAATTTATAAAAAAAAAAACTTTGCTCGGAAAATTTTAATAGCTTTTGAAGAAATTTTCTTTTGAGAACAAATTTAATTTACGAATACCCCTTATTACGCAAAAAGCAGTTTTTTAACAAAACTATGTCTACCCAAATCAGAAAGAATACACCAAACGTTACAAAAAATATTTTTGAAAATAAAAGTTTTAAAAAATATTTTTTTACGATAATCATTTCAAGGAAACATAATAATACATCAATTTAATCAATTTAAAAAAAAAAATTTTATAGGAAAAGATTATTTAGAAAAATTATCTTTAACAAAATTTAAAAAAAAAGTTTTATGTATGAAACAAAATTATTTATTTAGAAAAAACACTTCCAAGGAAAATTTTTTTTTTAAATTAAAGAAAGAGATTTTGAAAAAAGTTGTTAGATTAATGAAAATTTCCAAATTTCGTTTTCCAAAAAAATGTGTTTATAAAAAATTAGTCTCTAGCTAAAAAAATGGTTAAAATAGTTTTTAGTTGAAATAAATGGTAATTTTTATTTGAAAACTAATTTTTTGTTGAATTTTTACTTAATTACTTAGCCTTCGATGAATAACATTTTACATTAAATCTTTTTAATTATAGGCGTATGATGCTAAGAGGGTTACAAAAAAAAGATTATGGTCGAATTGAACATTAAAAACAAAAAAGATTTTGGAAACAATTATGAGATGTGTACCTCTACACTCACCTTCAGGTATTGTGGTCATCACCGTCTGCTCCGTTGCACCACTATCCACATGTCCCTCATATAAATCGGATTGCCGCAAATATCCAGCCGAATTAGGACGTCCAGCGCGTGTGCCGGAGCGTGGATCATTTTCAGAGTTTCTGCGATTATTTGCCGTATAATTATTGTTCACATTATTCATATGATTTACATATTGATGATTTGAAAAGGACAAATTAACATATTTTACTCCATCACTGATGCACAAACAAAATGCCATAAAGCCATCCAAGTTCATACGTGTAGTTATTGTTGTTTGTTATGAGCACCATAAAAGTTATGTATTCCAATGTGAGGGGGGACACAAGCACCAATCGTATGCGTAGCAAATAGTAGGAGTAGTGGTAGTGATAAACATTTTCCAACACCACAAAAATTTATTTAAAAACATTCAAATATACAAATGTCGTTGGTTAAAGTGTTTTAGGAAAGTAATATGTAAGCAAGCATGTAAAGTGGTACCATTCAATAGTTAATAGGGTAATACATACATAGATTTCATTTTTTTTTGTTTGAGGTATGAAAAATAGGTTAAGAAATTAAAATTTTAGAAACTTTTACCAATCATTAACATAAATATGTAAAAAAACATACATTTGTATGTATTTATATGTATCTACATACTAGGGCTGGGACTATTCGTACATTTGGATATCCGTTCCTTTTGGTTATCTGGATATTCGGATATTTTAAAGAATATTTGAAGGGATTTGTAATTTTTTTTTAATTACTTAATCTATCGGGTTGCAAAGTAAATATTGAAATGCAAATTCTTTTATTTTATTGTTAATTTTTGGATCCGAATATCCGGATATCTCTACACTATTCGGATAACCGGACTATCCGGACAGCAAAAAAAAATCTCAGTCCTAATATATAATCAATCATTAAATGATATGGAGTTTTTCGACCATTTTTTAGTTCAAATATTAAGAAATGTTAAATAATGATTGCAAATAATATAATTATATCGTCGCGTATCAAACAAAATGCAAAACCGCGTATGTGAGGTTGCATAAATTATTTTCTAGAGAGTAAAAATACTCATATTTCAAAATGGTTTTCTTGTTTATAAAGCAATCGCATTTCTGGCTGGTATATTTCAGGACGAATGGATAAGGATTGAGCCAAGAGCTTGTGTGAGCAAATCAAAATTTTTGCAGAGTTGTATATATGGTTTATGAAGAATTTTATCAGCTTTGATTTGACGTATCTGCTTTTAAGATTGTTAAATTGGTTCGTAAGATATACGTGAATAAGGGCAAACACTTTTTGTTTTGAGCTGAATAACGGTAAATTCAAAACATCTCGAAAACGTATCCACAGAAATAAACTTAACTCGATTTTCGGAATCACCGAGCAATTCTACATAGAAATTGGATAGTGGCGTCTGGAGAACAAAAACCAAACTAAAACTCGTGATCCAGTGTTATTAATTCGTCGAAATATATTTTTATTTATTTATATGCTATGTTACCGCATAAATTTGGAGCACGTTAACCTAGTTTTATAATTTTTTTTAAGGAAAGATGGTACCTCAGAGGTAGTCCCATACTAATTTGGTTTAGATCCGATCATTGGATCATGAAGAAATTATCACTACTCTTAAATTTGCATACGAGAATTGAAGTTGGTTTTGTTTTTTGCTTAAAAATTACTTGTTTTTATGAAAGTATAGATCGTTATCTAACAAAAACCATGTACGTAAGTCCGAATTTCACACTTTGTAAAAAATTGGAAAATTCGGCAAAATTCAACAAAATTGTATCAGATTTTCCGTACAAAATATGTTCGAATTTTTTTTTATTTGGGAAAAAATTGTCAAAAATCAACGGTAAGTCCAAACTACTTCAAACTTCTACTTTATTAAATTGAATTGGCTACAAAAAGTGCATACTTTAAATATTTCTGAGAAATCGAATTAAAAAGCTCGTCATTTTGATGGAGCTTTGTCGAGTTTACCTAAATTTTAGGAAATCTTTAGGGAAACATTGAGATTTTTTAAAGGTTTTAAGAGGGTTGCCAAGTGTTTAAAAATTCAGTGAAACATTAAATGATTTAGTAAGTAAAATGAATTATGCATTTCAAAATGGGTATCAATCGAAATGGCTGTGAAAGGCTTCACATATACTACATGAAGAAGGGTTGCCAACTATTTAAAAAGTCAATTCGGGTAACTAAAATATGTCTCACAATGTCAGACGAAAGAGGTTTAAGAAGGTCTTAGTTTGAAAATATTTTGAGGAGGGTTGAAAAGGGGAAAACCTGAAGATTTAAAAATTGTTTGCTTAGTTTTTGGCCGAGCATTTACTCTAAATTATGAGAAGCTTAAGAAGAGAAGCTTTTGTATGGCAGAAGTTACCTGTAGAGGAAGAAAACAATTTTTTCGATGTTACTCAGCTCAGGGATTTGAGCCTGGATTCTATCGATCGCTTGTGTGCGACTCTAACCAATAAACTACAGCGGCCAACTAACCACTCGGTTGCGGTATACATACACTACTTTATAAAACTGTATGTATGTCTCATTGTTAAAACGTACTTTTTTAAAAGTATTTTTTATATCGGGTTAGTAATATGTAAGCGATTTTAAATGCAGTGTTAAAACAAACAAAAGGTAAACAAAAAAAGCTCAATTTTACTGCTACATGCCATATTAAAAAAACTACGATATATACTACGATATATACCAGTAACTAATACATTTTTGCACAAAGCGTTGTCATACCGATTCAATTCGAAATTTTCCGAGAAGCGTTGCTTTGTAATGGTCGGATCGATTTTGTCAGTCTCCGGATGGATTTGATTTATAAAACGTTTGCGATTGCGCAGTAAGAAGTTTTGCACATTACCATATCGGCAGTATTCCACAATAACCATCAGTTCACCTGAAATGAGATGCCAAGATTTATGTTATTACTATTCCGGCTATACCAAAAAAAAAAAAACAATTTAACTACATACGTTGTGCGATATTCCTTGTGACGGCGCCCAACAAATTAACAACATTCAAATTTGGTCCCAAATGTACCATAATTTTCAATTCCGTGACCAAAGCGCGCATCACCTCATTATCCGCTATGCGTTTCACCATCTTCACAGCCACTACAGTCTCCTTTTCATCAGGTCGTATGCCCTCAGCATGCGCCTTCAAAACCACACCAAAGGCGCCAGCGCCCAATTGTTTGCCCAATTTAAGCTTTTCGCGTGGAAATTCAAAAGCTCGATCATATGGCAATAAATCTGCTTGCTCGTCCAGTGTCAGCGCTGGATTTATATGCTCCACATCACCTTCTTCAAAGTTGGCCAAGCCGGCGGCTTTGTAATCCCGCAGCCGTCTCCGTTCACGCAAAACACGCACACACAAGTAGATAACCAGCGCAATGAGTATGACGAAGAAGAAGAGTAGGCCAAGTATCCAGCCGGTGCGCATGCGTGGTAAGTCTGTGTAGAAATTGAGTTTTTTTTTAATGCTACGCTTTCAAAATTTATGAGTTCCAATACTTATATGAAAAAGTAACTTACTTGTGATTTTAACAGCGGAACTAGCGTCAACAGAGCCCAAACGATTAACGGCCACACATTTATAGATACCTTCATCTTCGGGTTTTATATATTGTATGACTAGCTTGTTACCATCTTCTTCGATGGCTATATTGCTGCCATTGGTGAGTTCTATATCGTCTTTGTACCAGTGCACATTTGCCGCTGGTATAGCCTCCGGTGTACATTCCAATTCTAGGAAGTCGCCAAGTTTGCGCTCCAGTTTTGCATTTTCATCCAAATTGGTGTGTATCATTTTGGGAGGCAGTGGTTCTACGAGTAAATCAAGCGTAATTAGCTATTAATTACTTGCCAAAGGGCTAATCCCTAAATGTATTTGAATTCTTTGAATGAGGAGGTGCATTTTCATTTCCAAGACAAACTCTTAAAGTTCACCAAAGAGTCGAGAAAGTTTACAGATATGTAATATTATCCCATGTTCACGCTATCGTGCTCATCCTTGCTATAGGCCTCGAGTATAACGGGTAATTGACCTTGTATTCCATCCACCTCCCGACGGAATACAGTACACACCCTATCTCAGAATTTGGTTGAAGAACGCCGCATCTCAGATGCCGATTCAAAAACGCCCTTTCTCAGCACAGTTTCAATGTATTTTCATCTGAGAAAAGGCGTTTTTGAACGGAATTCTGAGATAGGGTGTTTTTCCAAAAAATTCTGAAATAGGGTGTTTTTCAATCAAATATTGAAGTGGGGCGTCCTTGAAAAGTTTTCTGAGATAGGGCGTTTTCGAACTGGCTGCTGAGATAGGTCGATCTTCTCCACAGGTGACGAAATACACTGGAAGGTTTGGCTTTGATTGGTCAGGGACGACCTGTGTTAGTGTTTGGCCGAGCTTTACCTCCGATTTGTGGAATCTACCTTGGTGTTGTCACACAAAGGGGAGGGACCTACAGTTTTATGCCAACTCCAAACGGTGATTGTATTTTTAAGAAAAGCTTTTTTGCATGTCCGAAATGCGCTCGAGAGGGGACCGCTAATAGAATTTTTTTCTTTTCATTTATTTTTGATGTTCGTCGGAAACTGGGCTCGATACTATGCCCTGTGGCCCTGCGCAACTCTAACCATTATACTAACTAAAATTATTACGTTTTGTTTAATAAAAAAATAATGTGATAATGTTAAAAAAAAATACAAGGATGTGCAATAGGGCGCGTCAATTTGTATGGAGGACCTTTTCGACTATGCGCGTATGGCACTGTAGGATTCTAAGCAAATTTGGGATGAAATCATGGGTCTAAAATCAGTTTAGAGTTTGCCGAATTGCGAAAATAGATTTATTTTACTTATTATCTGCTTTCGCAATTTAGCAAACTCCAAATTGCTTTATAGAGGCATGGTTTCTTCGGAAACTTTGCTTGGAATTAAAAGTAGAGTTCTCATATGCTATACGCGCATAATAAAAAAAAAATTGACCCGCCCTAATGTGCAAGCATAAGATTGTTTGTAAAAAATTAAATTCAAATTATCTAATTCAGTATTAAATTCCTGAAATTTTTTTATAAGCAGAGCTAAAAAATTGACTTCGCTGTAAACTATCAGAACTGGTACGAGTATATGGGACCTTTCTTCATTTTATATATTTCTAGGTTATTTCCATTTGACTTACCATACACAAAAATACTGATATATTTGCTTTCCTGCTGATCGTAGTTGTTCGCATTTCGTGCACGACACTCATAGCTGCCCTGCGAGCGTTCTTGGATATTATTGATTTTCAACGTCCTTTGATACGAATAGCTGGTTGAGGAGTTGGTAATCACAAAATCTATGTGAAAATAAACAAGGGAAAAGGGGATACATGAATACATGTTTAAGAAGCTCTTACCAATTTTGGCTGGTATTATCAATTGCGAAGCGAATAATCTTGGCAGAGCAAACGGTTTGGCGAATACACCTAAAATTTGCATCAAAAGTGTTCGCGTTGTAAGTATGTAACTTGTACAAGCGAATACTCTAAATGAAAATTTTAGGTGTGCTCGCCAAACCGTTTGCTTCTCAATTGTCAATACCAGCCTTAGTTTTATGTACAGTGGTTTTTTGCAATGCCAACTTACTGTTGCTCTCCTCCACAAGCTCGCCATCCTTATACCAATCCAGATCGTCTGAGAAGTAGTAAGATAATGCGGCACAAGTGAGCGTCACCTCATCGCCGCGCGCAATCTTCTTATTCTCATCAATGCCCACTATGGTCATATTATCACTTATATCGCCGATAAGCACATGACCTTTGCCCTCGCCCATACCTTTTGGGTTGGCTGCCAAGCAGTGGATAATGCCTGGTTTTTCAGGCGTAAAATACAAATCGTGTATGTATTCAATAGCCAACTCGCCTGGTTGTGCATTGCGTGTGGACTAAAGAAAACAAACAAACATAAAATTTTGTATTTAATTTCATACAAAATATAATATTTAACTAAAATTTACACACATTGAAATTTTGCTCTAAACGCTTATCACACGATGGCCATCGCGGCGATATGCTGCACGGTGTAAACACCCAGGATACTATAGCCGTTGGATAGGACAATACCCTGCACTGCAAATGCGCCTCTTCACCAGCTTTTACGTAGACATCTTTCACTGTAACTTTGGGCTTATCTGTGATGCTCACATTGAATTGTAATTCTTTCACGAGCAACTCATTTTTGGCGCGTATCACATACTCGCCACTGTCTTCGAGTTGTGCATTCAAAATTTGCAGCGTGATCGAGGTATCTGTAGTGTTGATCATATACTTTTTCGATGGATGAATTTGTGTCTTATCAGGTTTGTACCAGGTAAGTGTGGGGAATGGATAACCACGGTATTTGACGTTGATCTGTACCTTTTTATTGGCAGAGCTGACAATCTTGTAGTAGCCTGAGGGTTCGCTAATATTTATGTAGCCCTCATCGCGATCTAATGATAATGGTGTAGGGATGAAATGAAATACATATATGTGGAAGGCAAGACATATTTAGTAGTTTACTCACTTAGTACAGTCATTTGATAATTGTTACGCCCAACATTGTTCGAATGATCAGTACAAATGCACTTGTAAAGACCAGAGTCCGAATTCTGTGCGTTCAATATCGTCAACATTGCTAGACCCACTTGATGAGTTGATGTTGAATTAATAAATCTGGGCGTAGTTTTTACCATGCGATGCTGTGAATACGATTTAATCGATATGTAAATGTTTTAGGTGAAGTGCTTGAGGAAGTCAACGATCCTCTGATCTTTGGATACAGTACTGATCGCGATTTTCAACTTTATTTTTGCTTTGGGTTGATCTTTATCTGGACGTTGATTTTGATAATACTATTTATTATTGCAATAATCGTAATTTATATAGAGCTAGATCTGAAATATTTTGATCAAAACCATGGGGTTAAAAATCAAACTTCGAAGAATTATCTTGACCACGGCTTGTAACTAATTACTAAATAATTGCTCTTAAAGCTGGTCTCTAAATTAGTCTTTTTCTTCTTAAAAAGGGCGTAAGTACCTGGTACTCATGGAATTTGATGCACAAAGCCAATGAGCCGAATTAGTCCCAAAATTGCTTTGTCCTATAGTTGCTTTGTAAAGTTGTGAGTTTGTCCGGAAAGGATCTCGAACAAGTCTTGAAACGGTCTCGAAATGGACACTTGCTAGTTCCAAAATAATCCCGAGCTAGACCCGAAATGTTCATAAAATATGTAGCAGTGGAATAGTCTCGAAGAAGTCCTGAAATAGTTGTGAACTATTCCGAAATGGCCCTGAAACAGTCCCAAAATTACTCTGAACTATTCCCAAAATAGTTCCGAACTAGGCTCAAGTTGTCCACAACTAGTCTCGTAATGGACCCGAAATTGTGGTAAACTAGTCACGAAATGCCTCTGAAATAGCTCTGGAATGATCCCGCATTAGTCCTGAATAGGCCCGAAACGGTAGAAAAAGTCGTGAACTTGTCCCGAGATGATATCGAACAAATCTTGAAACGGTCCCGAAATGGTCCCTTATTAGTCCCAAATTAATAACGAACTAGTTCCGAAATTGTCTAAAATAGTCCTGAACTAGCCCCAAAAATATTCCTGAAATAGCTCTGAACAGTTCCCGAAACGGTCTCGCAATGATCCCTAACAAGTCCCGAAATATTCCTGAAATAATCCTAAACACGTCCCGTCTCAAACAAATTCCGCAATGATTCTGAGCAGGCCCCGTAAATATTAGGAACTAGTTCCGAAATGGTCCTAAACTAGATGTAAACTATTCCCGAAATAACAGATTATCGGCTGAGATGAGGAGAGCTAAGATGTTTACTTATCAAAAACTTTCCCCATTGCTTCTCTTCTTTCCGAAGTTATGCCAGTTATTCAAACCAAGTGTGGACAGATCAAAAAAGTAGCCCCTTTAGATAGTAAGTTGGTACTAGTGCAAATTAATTTGCATCACTTCCGTCTCACTCGCCTTCATAAAGTTTACGGACAAGCATATGTAGATACCGCGCAGGCGCATCTGGATGCTAATGTCCGCATACTTTCTATACGTTGAGGAGAAGGACCGCCGAAAGCAGTTCACCAACTTATACGACACGAGGACTGAAACTGGTTATGGACCTAGTAATATCTAATAATGCAATCCGGTCGTAGACTCGGCTACCAGCAGGATTAGTAAATTCTCGGACCACAGCAGGATACTAGGAATACAGAATGGGTAAGATTTTCTAGGATAAAATCCTAAGATATAGACCTAAATGCAGGCGACGTAAGGAAGATTGGGAAAACTATAGGAAAAACATCAATGACGAACAAAGTCGAATAAGGTTCGGAAAGAAAATACTGGAAGAAGTTCTGCGAAACATTGAAATCAACAAAATGTCACTTAGATTTTCTGAAGTTTTCCAATAACACTTGGATGGCTCCCACTTTGCTGATTATCTGGTTATCCATTTACTATGTGGTTATATTTTTATTTTGCTTCCAAACAGAAACAAACTGAAGAATAACAATCTTTAACCAGTTAACCTATTAACCCGGAATATGTGATCAAACCAATAATTTTTGTTTAAAATTAGGAAACTATTACAATTAATTTATATTTATCTTTGGTTCTCACCTCTTTAACTCCAGCTGGTGTTTTCCATTGTGTTGTGTAGGAAACATCGAAGGCGATTTTCACATAACAATTTAATGTGAAATTTTCGCCAACATTGACATGTCCACGAGAATTGGAGGTTATGACCGGTTTCTCGATATATTTCGTGCTCGCTAAGAATCCAATTTGTGTTCGTTTTTTTGTTTTTGTTGAATTTCATAAAAAATATTGATATGTGAGTAAATCTTTACTTGATTAAAGGTTGTTAACAACTAAAAGCCAACATTACTTTGGGATCATACATAGAACAGAAAAGAATAAGGAACACGAATACAATACATAAAAAGAGCAATACAAAATATTTACACATGTACAAAAACCATGCAAAACGTAATTTATACAGAAAATTTACAAAAATAAAAATTAATAAAAGCTTTGTGAAAGCTTTGAAGATATGAATATATGATATGTATTAATATGTGTATGTATGTACATAAACTCATAGTATTTCTTAAAAAAGCTTCTAGGGTAATTAGTTTTTGATAAAAATCGTGAAAAAGCTTCCACATGAAAATATGTTAAATTAATGTAATGAAAAAGTGAAACAATGTGATATAGATTTTTAAATGGGTTGAATGAAAATTAACATACAAGTACATAAATGCACGTATGTATGTAAAATTACCATAGCCCACTTAAGCTTTCAATTTAGAGTTTGTGCGTAATGTCTTCATCAAAGGTCTCTTGTACGTAGAATTCTATAGTGTAGATCTAAAAAGTTTCTATTATTTTTATACTACAATACATTTTAGGAAAGTAGCAATAGTTCAAAAAAAGCTACCTTGCGCATAAGCTTTCAACTTAAAAGCTTTTTTGAAGCAACGCTTTTTCATAATAAAAACTATGCGTAATTATATTTACCTAGCTCTGCCCAGTAAGCGAATTAAGCTTTTTTAGGTTTTCTACTTTAAAGCTTCCGGCGGCCATTTGTATTTAATGCAGTTGTCTACTTTAAAAAGTTTAAAGCAGCTGTAATAAACTCGTAGAGTCATACAACGGAATTATTGGTAATAAGTAGCATAGACAATTTTTAAAAAAAGCTGATAACATAGTCAATTCAAATAGAAAATGTATAATAAGTTTAAGAAGCCACTTAAAACTACAAAAGCGTTGCAAGTAGACAAGGTGGTCCCCATAACCAATTTTTAGTATCTCAATTTACCTCTCATGTGAAGCTTTTATAAAGTAGAAGTGCACTCGATGGGTGTAAATTTTCTATAGATCGGCGAGCACAATTAGAGTAAACTAATTTCCAAATCCATAACCTCTCACAATAACCTGATAGATTTTTTAATAATATCTCCTAAGAGCAGTGCGCTTAGACCACCCGAGATGAGCAAACAAAGTGTTCACCCTGAGAGCGGTCATAGACAATCTACAGAAAGTTTTGAAAAGCATCTCTGCAGAAAATGTTTTGGTCATAACTGGCTTAGACTCAGGTAGGGGCATCTATCTTTTTTCTATTTTCCCTTTCCATTTGTTATTCTTTTTTCTAAGAATAACACAAGGAGAGTCAACGTGTTTCTCCACTGGCAGCCATAGCAACCTAGCCTAAATAGCTAAAGGAATTGAATTCATTGATAGCTGCAATTTTTATTGAAGCTTAAAAGAAAAAGTGGTCATACATCTCCGAAGAATTTTAGATCAATCAGCATCCCTTCATGAGATATTAATTTACCAGTATATAAGAGATAGGATTTCTCGAAAGCGATTAAGTGTCAGCATGCCTACCTAAATGGTCGATTAGTGAAATCTGGATTGCCTAAAATTGTCAAAGGCATAGAGAAGTTTTTAATAAGAAGAACTTTGTAGCTGGTGCCTTCCACGATATAAAACAAGCTATTAATAACGTGATACCCAGGGCACAGAATTAACCTAGCGGAAACGCCATGCTCCGGTGTACTATCGATTAGGAGGGTTAACATCTACTTCTTCCATAGCCAGGCTGCAATCAGAATTCTAGGTTCACTTGTAATACGATCGAAACTGATCAGGGACTACCAGACTTCTCTCTCGATCGCACTTTCATATCCAGCTTATTTGGGTCCCAGAACACACTAAGATTGCAGGAAACTGCATGACAAATGAATTAGCTAGGCAGGGTACCCTCGAGGTCATTTTTCTGCACAGGGAGAGAATAGAATTTCCTGTCAGACTACTCATGGACAGATCGGCTTTTACTCGTAGTAGACTCAGTGAGCGCTAGGCGAGGATACCGACAAGCAAAGTTGCAAAGCTCTTCTGACCGGTGGTCGACAAGATAATACCAGATGGTCCTTGTCGAACCAAAGTTTTCGAATGAATAATGTTTCGCGTATTAAATGGTATTTTAAATGGCATTTATGAGAACATTGAAAACTACGAGTATTATGGCAAAAATTATAGCAAAACTCAGATTGAAATCAAACGAGAAAAAAATTACAAAACTTATTAGAGCGCATGCGCTTATAAAATGGAATAACAAAAAAGTGTGCGTCTAACGACAATGGAATTAGGAGGGTTTGAAAATTCTATTTGGACATTAGAAGCTTTGAAAATAAAGTGCAAATTTCGCCATAAACTTTTAAACTTACAACGCTGTGTACCACGAAAGCGTGAACTATGCCATCTTGTAGTTGGGGCAGCGCGTTGCAAAAAGGATCGCTTCGTTGCGCGCACGTGTGTGACGAACGGTGAAACAGTCGTCGTGGAAGTCGTGCTATATTCAAAACTAACTTTTTCAGTGTCAGCGTAAGCGTCTGTAGCTACTTTATATGTTTTGCGATAGTCAGTTGTAGTGGTCACGTGCGTCCTGGCATAACCTTCACCATTATTAGTAACACCAACAACATCCTCAGCTAGTATGTTAACGCTATTATCATCCACAATATTGCCATCACCGGGATTAGGGAGACGATCAACAGCAATACCAATACCAACACCAACATTAATATCCACATTTTCATCCACATCCGATGCTACAACTAAGTGATTTGAGAGTTTATGAAAATTATGCGTTGCTCTCAGATTAACAACATCAAAAATGCGATTAGTAACAGGCACAATTTTGTTAGTTACTGTACTTGTTGCTGTTTTCGTGCTTCGGCTGGGTCTTGGTGGGGGAATGCTCTTAGTTTTTGGGATTATGGTTCGAATGGAATTGAGTTTTGACGCGATTATTGTGCTAGCTAGAGTAGTAGCCTCCACCGATGTTATATCCGATGCTTCAGATTGTTGAGATTTTATATACATTCATATCGGTGTTGTTTTTATGGGTGAATTTGTTTTTTATTTTTTATTTTTAAAGTTGTTTTTTTTTTGTTGTTTTGATTAGTATATGCAAAAACCATCGAAATAAGAGAAAGGTAAAAATGGTGTTTCCGGGAGAAAAGAAAAAAATTAAGTATTTAAAGATGTACGCAAATTTGTATGTGCTTGATTTTTGTCTAAGACTAAAATAGATTTTTCGAAATTTCTCTAAATTAATCTATACCAACACCATTTTTTAAAATAATATTTAAACTACGAAGAAATCTGAAGTTTAAAATTGTATTTAAGTCATAAATATACTATAGTTTATCTAGAAAAATTTATATTCACTATCTCTATAAAATAGGGAGTTCACAAGTCGTGCTATTTGTCATATTTGCTCTTTTATACTATTTTTTTAGAACAGTTTTAAAAGTGTTGTTTTTGCTTTACAAGTAAAATTGTTGTATTACAATACAACTTTGAAAAATATGTTTACTTTGCTATTTGTGAGTGCTATTGGATCAGACATTTCTATTTATTTACATTTTTCCTTGTCTGAGTACAATAAAATATTCAAATTTTAAATAAAAAAATGGAGTCATCTCATGGCAATGGAGTAGTTATCTTTAATTTATAACATATTTAACTTATTAAAGATCTTTTTTAATTCAGTGCAAAACTAAGCGTGTTCGGGGAAAACCAAACCATATGTGGACAGTGTCGGAAGAGAAGTCCCTAATTGATTTTCTTTTAGAAAACCGCCTATTTGAGGTTTTTTCCTTAAACACATATGTATAAATATAATTTGGAAATATAAGTACATATTTGCAGAAGCCGTCCGCCCAGGATTTTTATACGCGTTTCTGTGTAGAAAAAAACTAGAAATTCAGTGGAAGCTGGTGCGTTCTAAAGTGCGTAATATGAAAACGAATTACAAGAAAGCGAAAGATTGGGAAGGTTCGACAGGGGCAGGTAGCATGGATGGATGATTTGCCAACAACACAAGCATATTCAACCTAAAAGTTTCATCGATCTCTTCCTCCTCATCTTCATCGCCTAACAAAAATGCACCAAATAAATTTAAAAAACTCATAAATGACTTATTTGACGACTCACTTCCTTCCATCATTGCGTCCTGCGCGTACTTCTCGCAAATCGCAGCCATTAATTTGCTTTTCTCGCTTCTTCTGGGCATTATAAACTTTCTAAAGCTGTTTTAATTATTTTGATTTTGTCAAATATAATTGTTAAAATATTGTACAATAGCACACGAAAAAGTATGGGATGCTCATAAGTTTCATTTTACAACTGTTCTAAAAAAATAGTACAAAAGAGCAAATATGACAAATAGCACGACTTGTGAACTCCCTAAAGGCGCTGGCCCAATGCAGGCTTGCTTTGCGCGCCTTGCTGACTTCAATTTGCTTTGATTTACTTTGAAAACTTGCTTGGCCGAATGGAGGCTTGGAACTCTGTCAAAATAACCAGCTGTCTGGTTAAAAAGCCAATGTCTGTTCCCTTAACGTTAATAATTATTTTCTAGAAAACTAAAAAAATGTATCAAAAAGTTTCAGATGTATTTATAAATTATTGCGAAATAATGTTTGTGTTTAAAAGAAATGATAATAATGATACATGCATATCTATATCAACATTTACTAAAAAAACTATAACTTAAAAAAGCGATTTACTTAGAGAAAAGAGCTATAAGAAATTTTTTCCTCTCGTGTGAACTTTGTAAAAGTGGGCTTTGCAACTTTTTACTATAAGATAACGATATGTTAAATATAAATATGGAAACAATGAATCATTTTTATTTCATTTCGAATTACCTGCATTTTCTGTGACCTTTTTAAATTAAGTAAGCAAATTTTTGTTTGAA